GACAGTAAACGCCCCGCCGGGACCAGCGGAGCCGCCTCTCTCGCTCCATTAGTGAAACCTAAAGCAGGATTATGGGCCTCCCAGGCATCAGGAGCCGCCACCAGATGGAGCCAGGAGCCAGATCATGTCCCAGAAAGAGGAGGAAGAATCTGGGCCTCTGTGTGAGAGTTTCTACCCTAAAACTCCTGATTTTCACATTTGAATAAATCAAAAGGCTGGCAGGAACACACCAAACAGTCCTAACAATTATCAAGATATTTCATATTTAAGAATAAATCAGACTTTTTCAGGTTGGTAAGCAGTTTTATCTAAATGAGACGCAGAACAATTGAATTCATTAGATCAGATTTAAACAGTGTAACCCGTTTAAACAGCAGTTTTCTGTTAGCTGCTGGTCACTTTTTATGTTATAATGAGGGAAATAGAGAAAATTAGAGGCTGACTTTGCATATTTTTAAATTCTTGGACATTTTTGTGTACTTAGGGTTTAAATAAATGGTGGAAATGTTCACTTTTATAACCTGGATAATTTATGAGCTTCAGTTTCTGTTTGTAAAATCCTTTTTTTTTTCTGAGTGCTCTGAACTGTTTGATAATTAACTGAACACGAAGGTATTGGCTGTGATCCAGGTGAGCTTTGCTCTGTATGTCCTCAGTGGAGTTTGTGGTCAGCGTGACCACAAAAACAACCCGCTGGTGTTTCAATGAAGCGCATAAAGCTGCAGAATTTCAGCCTGTGTGAAAATAATCCGACAGAAGGTCCCAGAAACCACATCATCCGCCCATCAGACCTGCAGTCTGATCCAGGAGAGACCAGCCGAAGCTCCAAATACTGAAAAAAATCAACAATTTTTCAGAAATTATGATCATAAAAAGGGTGTAAGCCATAGCGATTTAAACCTAAACTAATTCACAATAATTATATATAAAAGATGAAGTTTTTGTCACACAATCAGTCATAGGGTCCAGTTGTGTTTTTCTGTTTAAACACTTTTCCCTTTTATTTTTCACCTATTTTTGATTTTGCACTTTTTCGTGCAAGTTAATTTCAGATAACATGGTTGCTCTGTTCTAATAAAACACCTTTCAGCACAGTTCAAGTCACTGCTAACAGAATCCACTTAATTCAATTTCAATTATGTATAATTCACTCGGAACCAACAAAAAAAATTTTTTTTATTAGCTTATCCCAACAGGTTTCTCCTCTGTCATGTACACTTGAGGATGGTGGGGAGAAAAAACAGGAAGGAACTGCTGAGTTCTGGACTTTTATTAGTTTTTGGTTATTCTATTCTCTGATTTTTCTCCTTTCTGGTGTCTTTCTTGGTTGTCTCTTGCTTCAAAGGTCTCGGTGTGTCTCCTGATCCTTGTTTCTGGTTGTTGGTCCAATTCCTCCAGTCTGGCCGTCAGCTCTGCCCTCTTCACCTGTGCACGTTTGCACTTTCAACATGTTAAAAGGCTTTTTTTCCTTATTTCTAACCATCTGAAGGTTTGAAGTGAAAAAACTACAAGCAGATGGGAGCTGGTTTCTGGTTTTAAGCCCTTCTCCACAGCAGCAGGACCTTTTAGAGCACATTTTGTTCCTCCAATGTGAGAAAACACACCCTGGAGGGGGACCGCTGCTGGACAGATCCAGGGGCAGCCCAGTCTGTGAGGACCCAGTCCCCCCTGACTGGGAGGGGCCCCAAACGCAGCCCGGTCCTCCTCCAGCTGTGTGATCCATTTCTCTGTGAGCTACTCCCTGGATTCCTCCAGCTGTTTGGAGCGGGATGGATGTAAAGGGATTATAAAAACCCAGATTATTCCAATCATGTGATGCAGGACCGGAGCAGCTGCTTATTCTATGGAGCCTTCGGATGTATGTGAACCAGAAAAACCCTGCAAATATTCCAGCGTGAACGCCCTTTCTCCCCCCACCCCCCCCCCCAAAAAAAAACTGAGCCAGAGTGCGTGCGCGTCACGGTGCCACCCCAAAATCTGTGCTTCCCACGCCCAATAGACATGGGTTAGGAGTCTGGGGCCGTGAACGCAGCCTATGGAAGAGACGGGGAGAGTGTGAGTGGCCCGGGAGAGGAGGGCCGGTGTGTGCGTGTGTGTGTGTGTGTGTGTGTGTGTGTGTGTG